GTCCTGAGTGGTTTACTGCCCTGGTGGACTTTAAGGGGCTGGAAGCGGCCTCTGTTTGCTGAGTTAGGGACCGGACAGTCACGCTTTGTCACGCTCTTTCTTGAAGGACAATTTTAGCTCTGTCTGGAAATGGATAGTCGGCTGACACAGCGGGATGAACACGATACTTTAAAAGGTCGTTGTTGTTATTTTTGAAGCTGCGGTCTGCAGCTGATGGATGTGTGACCCAAAACGCTGCGTCACGGCTTCCATCGTTTATGTGGCGCTTCTTAATGCTTCTACAACTGAGAGTAGTTAAAAAGAAAGCGCTGTTTCATCAGAAAAAAACAAACAAAACAAACAAAACAAAAAAACAACCGACCCTGAAGACTGTTCTGAAAAGTCTTTTTCTGTGAAGCCTGTTAGGAAGTGTTGTCAGAAAATGTGGGCTAAAATGGGACGACGTTTTGTGGTATGAAATAATTGATGTAACTCTCTTTGGCCATATGTTTAACCATATGGTCCACATAAAAGATCAGGCCTTCTGCTCCGTTCCCAGTAAGAGTCCCACCTGAGAACTTTACAGTAAATATTCCCACAGACGCCTCGGCCTGGGACCCGTTGCTATTGGAGATAGGAGTAGATCTCCTTCCCTATATCACTTCAAAGCCTGATCCAAGAAAAAATTGAAGAATATTGGATTTTTTTAGTCTGAAGTCTTTCTTTGGCCCCTCAACAACATACAAAGAAAAAAAAACTGAAATTATTTTGATCAAATGAGCGTGCAATAAGTAAAAAATATATGTTGGTGTAGTCTTCTACTGGCTGTTATCAGGTATATCTGAATGTGTACAACAGGGGTTTGAGCAAAGCTTTTACCACTGAATGATGCAGAAAGTCTCACATCCAAAAGACTTCAGAAACCGTGTGAATCAAATATGATACATTTGGCATTATAGGGTTGATCCAGCTTCAGAGCAGGAGTGAGACGACACTGTTTCCTGTCTTCGTGTGTGTGTCGGGCTCCTTAAAATTTGGGAGGTGTTTGTTTAAAGGACCCTCTGTTCAGAGGAGCATGCGGCTGGTTCAACTGTTTGTTTGCTTGTCTTGTAATCCCTCTGTGGAGGTCTCAGTGGGTTGTAACTCCTTCCTAGAGCTCCCTCGGAACTATTTTTATCCTAATTTTTTATCGCAAATCCAGAAACGCTCCCGTTTTATTGGCATGTCACCTTCTCAGAGGATTCAGCGTCAGTTGTTGTAATACATGGAGCTTTTGGAAATCTGTAATCTGTCGGGGTTTATTTATTTAATATACATATATATTTTATGTAAGCATCAGATTACTGTGTGATGACAAGCAGGCTGATTTGTTTTTGTTTGGTCATCTTTTTGTCAGTCATCTGATAATTACAGCCTTATTTGAATGGAGACCTTAGGCTGTCTGAGTCTGACCATCACAGGTCCAGTTTAGATCAGTAAATCAGAGGAGGGATAATTACACTTAATAAGGTTTGAATCCGGTGGATAAAGTGTTTGAAAACGTTACATTTTTTACTTTATACAAGACTTATTTAGTCGTGTGCCTTCAAATTGAATCCCGAGCCTCCTGCTCGTTGAGGATTAGTTTCATAACCCAGATTCTTGTTGAGAGCACATTTTGGCGTTAATCCCTGACTGGCATGACCACTCTTTTTTTTTTTTTTTTTGTGTTTCGTCCCTCCTCTTCCCTCTACTCTCTGTCCCCCTTTGAGTGGATTTAGCTAACACTGACAGACACGTGTCTCAGTGTTGGGGCTTAAACCATAAGACTCCTCTTCTCTACAAATCCATTATTAAGCATAATGAAACAGATTTGGACGGTCCTCAAACTCTGGATGTTCCCGTTTTGATATGTAAGGTGATAAAAAGCCAGCTGGTCTGAGATCGACGTAAAACCAGGATCTCCTATAACTCGCTTTGTATCGATTGGAAATGTGTATCTTTGGGCCCTCTGAGGGACTTTGACCCCCAGTTTCCAATGATATGCAAAACGTTTTCCACAGAAGCAGAGGCCCAGTGGAGCATCAGTCCTGGAGGTGTCTGCACCAGGCGGGACGGGCCCCGTTTGACAATTACCCGTTCTCTCCTAAACAATACTGGCTTTCAGTCCTTCTCCGATACGGGACCGGTGGTGGAGCTCGCCGGGCTGAACGGGACTCATTTGCTTA